ACTCGCAGAACACAGCATAGTGCAAAGGTCAGGGAACAGAAATTGCATAGGTTACTTAGTGGTTGTATTCCCTTTAGGAAGCATTTACTCCTTTGGTTGTAGTCCCCCTAGCTAAAGCATACAGCTTCTGAGCCACAGGCTCTGTAAAAAGGTGAGTCAAATGTCCAAGTTTTGGGTCTATTAGTTTATTTAGGGTAGTAGAGAGACAAGGGGTGAGGTAATATCTTTTATTGGACCAACTTCTGTTGGTGAGACAGACAAGCTTGCAAGACAGAGAGAGAATGAGAGCAAGCTTGTCTGTCTCATCAGCAAAAGTTGGTCCAATAAAAGATATTACCTCACCTACCTTGTCTGTCTAATATCCTGGAACTGGCATGGCTATAACACCACATACAATATTGAGAGTAGTGAATTTCTCCACAAACAGAACCTGAAAACTGGGTGCATTCTGGTTTTTCTATCCTTGTACAGTTATTTCAACTTCTTCTCTTTGCTGCCAGGGTAATAACAGCTGGTTACTGAAGGGTCCAGTTTTGAGAATTGATTCACACCAACCTATATTTCTGAAACTATCTAAGAGATTTTTTAATGTTGCAACATTAACAGAGGATATGTGACAAATGCAATCTTCTTGCAAAATCCTTGGCAGTGTCATACAGAATTTAAATGAATTTATAATTATGTGCTAACTATACATTTGTTTAACACTCACATTTCTCAAGAATGAAAAAAAATAAACTATTCTTTTAAAATACAGTCTCTTAGCTGATTTAGACCCGTTTCAATCTCACTGGTGTAAAACAGTGAAACATTTGGCTGTGTGGCTTTAGCCTCATGTACTGGGTACTGTATGCCAGGCAAATCCAGAGTCTGATACTTCAACGAGGATCAAGGAAAGAAAAAGCTGATCTAACAAAGTGGTCTCATTTGTTCTTTTTACCCTACTCTGAAAATGTTGAATTGCTATTCACCCATATTCTGCATATTTCTTGCACGTGATTATGTGTTAAGGCTGTTTGATTGTTGTTTACATTAGATATTTTGTGTCCAAAGGTCAAATGAGCATAGCTTTTGAATCAGATTCCGACTGGCTGCTTTTGTAATACTTAATCTTTGCACACTGGGAGGAAAAGAAAGTGGGAGACAGTTCAAGCTAACTCAAATAAACAGACAGAAGTAAAGCAACAATTGCTTTTCTGTACGGACCTGCTCTTGCTCGTTTCTTCTTTAGAGATAACACTCTTTGACGCAACGTCAGATAACCATGTTCAAAGTTTCACAGGCTAACCATTTAAAGATGCATTTCCACTCCATTTATTTTCCTTTATCTGAACCCTCTATCGGTTCATTTCAACTGAGGACATTTCAAAACAGAGACATGTAGGGGAAAAAAAGGGCCCACCTTGACACACCTCTGGAGATTACAAAGAAAGGCATATGACATTAGAATGCTGTGTTCTGATAAGAACAGTTGTTTGCATAAAAATTTTAACTATTACTAAAACTTCAATGAAGTTTCAAGGAAAGAAAGACAGATAAAGCCTCAGGTTAATTTCAGTCATTACCAAGCACTTTACACCTGCTGAAAAATTCCAAAATGCAAAGGGATGTCAATCTTGTTCTTTAGGAAATTTTTTTTTAAAATGGAGAAGACCTTCAAAGGCGGTCAGTAGACAAGACAGTCAATTACAGACCTGATTCAGCTCTTAACCCCTTGAGGTATAAGTATGCTTTTTCTGCAATAGCAATCATTTTCAGCATTCATTCAGATAAAAGCCTAAATTTTCCAGCATGATACTTCAGCAATGTATTCTGAAGTACAAGGCAATGACAGGTATTGCAAAATAAGAGCATGATATAATTAAATACGTAAATTGATGAGACACCCTGGGGAACACATATTCTTTTTCTGCTGCCGTAGCAAGTCACCAATGACATCTCATTGCTTGATAAACTTGTCGCCACATAGGTTTTCTTTCCTACTAACCTATATTGCTGTACATTTTCTGACATGATCTATCATATGTTCCCTCCATTGCTAAAAGACTCTCTCCCCATCTCTCTCTCTCTCTCTCCCTCTCTATTTGTAAGGCACAATACAGCAACTAGACTTGGTTAAAACTGAAAGCAACTTGGGCCTCATTGAACACTGAACAAGTTAGATGGAACTTATTAACCATCTCTATAGCATCCTTTTAAGGTGATAATTTATCTTTTTAACTGTCCTCTGTAAAACCTGCAGAAAAGAGCCTGATGGGAGCAAGTACACTGCATTATATACAGCTACAAGGTTTACCACATCCTATAGTTTCTCTTGCAAGGCACACTGAAGTGGAGTAAAAGGTAACTTATCTTGAAGAGTTGTTTCAGTGAGTTACCATAGCAAGGGCAAGATCACAGATGAAGAGGAAGAAACCATTGTCAGTGGAAAACAGAAACCAGGTGTAAAGGACCCTAATAATTTTGTTTAGAAGACTATGAACTAACTTGAAGCTTACCATATGGGTTAGATCTTTGGAGAATTTCCTGAGAGGCTAGCAAATAAATTCAGAGGCTTATATAAAATGCAGGGCCTGGTTTTCCTTTCATTTATTTCAGTGTATCAATGAATTCAAGGTGTAAACCTGGTGTACGTAAGAGGAGAATCATACCAATCATTTTGAAATTACTCAGTGAAATGATGATGGTGACTCACTAAGGAACACTTCCATACCTGTAAAACATTGGCCATTTGGTTGATGGGGAAAAGGAAGCCGAAAATAGCTGTTTGCTACAACATTTTTTTATTCACTTACAAAAAGCTTTTCCTGCTAAAGGTCCTTTAGCCCCCTTTTCATATTTCCAGTAGTGACTTATCTAATCTCATCTCTCTGATTATCAAATTCCATAGGGATCTCCTTTATCTCCCAACTTTATACTGGCCAGAATTTCCATTAAAAAAGATTCCTAAGGTCTTTCCTGAAGTTCACTTTTCCTATCTAAAATTCCCTACCCCCATTTTATTTTTTTGTAATACCCAAAAAATGTTCTATAAACGCTCTTGCTCCTGGAGTAGGGAAGAAGAATGAATTTGCACTGGACTCTTTCCTCCTTCTCTAAATCAAAATTGCTGTGTGTGCAGCAAGCAGAATGGAGAAATTTCTCACTCTCTTTCTATATGGAAATTATTCTAAAATTTGTAATTTGTGAAGGCATTGTTCAAAATCACATACTGGTTCTTCCTAGGTAACTTTAATTTACTTAAAAAAACAACCCCTGGCACTTAAAATAGTTAACAACAATTATAATTACTGGATAAGAAAGAAAAGTCAGATTTCTGTTACATCACTGTGAAAGGCTTTTATTACACACTCCTATAAAACATATTTCTTTTGTCAGTTGCCATCCTAGCAGACTAGCCTGCATACCAATAGGAACACTAAAATGCCAAGAAGCAGAAGATAGTTATCTGCTAAAATCTATGTAGAGTAACCTAACAAATGCCAGAGGAAGAAAGATTGCCCTCTGCACAGTAATACTTGTGTAGATGTCTTCTTTATGCTAACAATGACAAGGCTCCTTTCGTTTGTACTGTACTCCAAAATCAGAATGCATTTTTTTCAAAAGCAGACCGTATATCAAAGAGAAAAGATAGACATTCTAGGAACTGGGATACTTAATGTGGATAGCAAATACATTTACCTGAACACTGCTAACTAAAAGATTCTAGTCCACAATGTTAAAACTGAAGATTTATACCATCAGTATTATTCAAGGTACTAGGGAAGGTTTTTGTTGGTTTTAAACTTTTTTCTTTCCCCTCTTTCTGTCCATTCTGCTTTACAAAATTTCCCTCTTACCTCTATTCTGTTTCAAAGTTTTAAAATTACAGTTGTTTTTATCAACTCCTAAGTTAGTTATATAATGGTTCTATATGAATAATATATACAAAACTAATTATTATAATTTACAAATTGCAGCTGTTTTAGGTGACAAACAGGAACTTTTATTGCAGGACAAATTTAAGGAAGAAGAATTCTAATGCTGTAACTTCTGCACTGTGCTGCTCTTCAAAACTATTATTTTATTGTATTTGAATATATCTAAAATTGTCCTGTCAAAGGCACATTTCAGATGTAACTCTAAACTCTGCCAGCAAATCCAAAGAAATGTTCATGAAGTGATGCCAGACTTACTGTCTGCCTTCATACAATCAGTGTGCTTTCAAACGTGCTAGTTTCATATTTCTTGTTACACACACTTTGAGTCAGAACTTTACTGAGTAAATAGCGCTCGAATTCCCCCTCCCCCTGCAGTCTATAGGAATTATGCCCAAAACTGGTTTTGATCCAGTTAACTTTCTTTTTTTTTTTTTTAAAAAAAACCCAAGCATTTTATTTTCAACATTTCAAAAAATAGATATTAACACACAACTATAATGGTTACATTTAATTACTTCTACTACTACTGGCAATTCTATTAACAATATGTTTATCTTGTGGTCTACATTTATTTGACAGGCCCATTTGCAACAAGGCCTGCAGTTTCCTTGTATACAACAGTGCAAAGTAAAAGGTGACCTTTTTATTTATGTTTAAAACATTTCAACAGTTAGTTCTGCTCCAAAGATAACACCCTAACAAGGTTCAAGGCCAGAAACCCCTGACAATATTGACTTTTCACTTGATGACTACTGCACTGCATTAACTTAAACAGACACCGGAAAACATTTTTTAAAAGGAAAAAGAAAAAAGCTTAATTGAAGGTTGCATTTGTAGACTAGAGAGCCTCTATGTTAAAATCGTACTTGTCATTGTAAAAAGGATAAATAGCTGGCTAAATAAACATTAGAATAACAGTCACTTAAACAACTGCACCTATACAGATAAGTAACAAAAGCATCAGGCACCTGGCATCATATTAGGACCTACTGATGACAACAACATGAATCATTATAGTGACACCTAATAATGAGCAAACCGTGACGGTATTACATGTCTTTAGAAGAATCAGGCTCCTACCTTTACAAGACAGATGGACGGTAAGTCCCCCTTTAAAGAAAGTTGTCAGTAAAACGGGGCTGCAGTTGCAGTAAATTGAGTCCTTTCAGTCACTGTATACATGCAGCAGTTCTGCAATGAGGGAAAAAATATTATGGGAGGAGCAGCTGTGAACGAGTGACCTCCTGAAGCTGAGTTCTCTTTGTGAATCAAGCACTGGGAGCCAGTGCCTCTGATTTGCATGGATTATCTCCACTTGAACAGATACATTTAAATTTATCTGGCACGGTGGCAAAAAAATGGGAGAGTAAGTGAATGAGAGCGAGAACAAGAGAGAGAAGGGGAGAGAGAGAAAAAGAAGACAAGAAATCGGGAAGCTTGGCTGGATATGCTGGTTCTGGCAGAACTGTGTCTCAGAAGAGCTACAGCTCCCTCTTCATGTCACAATTGTAAGATAAGAAATGCTGTCATTAAGCACTGGTTAATAACAGAATTCCCCCCTCCCCCCCCCCCCCCCCGAATTTCTGATGTTCCATTTGATCAGATTTTTATAAACACTTAATTATTCTGTCATCATAAAGTCAGGATTTTATACTGGAAGCTTCAAATGATTTGTATTCAGGCAGGTAAAAGAATGAGGCAGGTAAAACTCCCCACGTAATTTTAAACCCAGGAACATTTCAAACTGAGTAGTTTGTACAAATTAAGACAGATTTCTACATATGCCTTAAAATACACTTATTGAGTATGCAGATAACTTTAAAGGCATGGATAGAAGATGGCATTCAAAATGTTGATATATAGTTGTCTTTGACAAAAATATCATTGCTCTGTGTGTGTAAGCCAACATTTTTGAGATTACTGAAATGTATCAAGACAAAGAGACCAGTGAAAACCCTCTAACAATCTGCATCCAGCCACTTCTCCCTTATTACCATGAATAACACAAGCATTACCTGTCAAATTTTCCCAATTTGATTTAAATGAAGTACTTATGCTGATTAGGGAAATATGAGGAACCCTCTTGAGCCTTCATCAAAATTAAGATGAACCTGAACTAAACTTTTTTTCTGGTTCAAAGGCATTTAGATAATTTTTTTCTCATCTTACAATTTCCCAGTTTACAATTTTTTGAACCTCTAAATATAGCTGTTGGGTACCAGTTGGACCAAAAGTCATTAAATGCAGAGATAATAGCTATTCGGAAATGGGAAGTAACAGAAAGCTTTGAGAGAGTTTATTTTTATGAGATTTCAAGCCCAAAGCTGCAATCTCAGGAGATTCAGATAATTCAAATGAACTTCAAATAAAAATCTGAACTTTTGGTGCTTGTACAAACCAAAGCCAAATTGCAAAACAGTTGAGGGTCACACATGAAACTTTAAATCCCTCTGTCTCATGTCTCCCCTTTTTAGCCCTGATTCTGCAAAGAGACCCAAGCTAAACAGATCCTGTTCCCATGTACAGTCTCAATGAAGTCAAGCAGAGTCCATGCAGGCTCAGGAGTCTACCCCCTGCTTGGAGCCCGGTTGAAATCACTGGGGACCCGCCTAGGGGTTCACTTTGCACGATGGAGATATTTGCTTGAAACCTGGATTCTTAGATGATGCATCTAGCTAAACAATAAATATTGTAAGTACTAAGCTTACCCCTGCCATGAAAAATTGCTTCTTGGAAGTAATCACATTTACAGTAAAACTCACTGCAGATAAATGATCACACAGATGCTGGACAAAGTCGTGGGGAATATATCTAGATTCTCTAATAAAAGCTATGTGACACAGTTATTGGTAACTGCCTATGCCCCATACACAGCCGCTAACTCTTAAAAATGCACTTGGCTCTCTCCAAAAAAATTGGAGATTCAGATGATTTCATTTGGGGGGCTAGATCCTTGAGCTGTGCCCATTTACACCAGTTGAGGATTTAGCTCTGAATGTTTATTAGAAATGTATCCAAACTGCCTGAGGTTTCATAGATCCTTCCCATTTTTCTCTTCCATCTTTCCTTCCATGTTTATCTCAAACCCATAATGGGTTGCCAGGTGTCCAGTTTTCAACCGGACACCCGGTTGAAAATTGACCCTCCCCAGCCTGGTGAAAATGAGTGAGTGAGTGAGGGTGGGAGAGAGCAAGCAATGGAGGAAGAGGGGGATGGAGTGAGTGGGGTTGGCCATATCTCACCTGCTCCTTTGCCTCCAAAATTCACTTGCTCCTCCCACTTACCCTTTCTCTGACCTCCCAGTAAGTGAATGAGTACCCTTCTTTCTTCACAACCTTCCATGACAAATCCATATTTTACACACTATTCCCTGTGAAGGGTTACGAGTAGTGTGGCTCCTACTGCTAGAGGGCCTTGAAAAGCACCATGAGCCAAAATCTGCTCCCAGAAGTGGTGTAAATGCTGTGTAACTCCACTTTACACCAGTATCTTGAAGAGATTAATTTGGCCCAAGCTACTCATATTAAACTCCCTTAACCTCAGTGACCACTTCTTAAGTCTCCTTTGGCTTCTTTTACTCTCCAAGGTCCCCAATTAATCCTTCTCAATCTTTAAAGAATGTCATCAGATTCAATAGGTCTAACAGTGCCTTAGACTGTTCTGTGTGTTATGCCTTAGACTGTGCTGCTTTCAGATACATTTTGCATTCTCCCTGTTCCTAGCTTGCAGTGAATTCTGGGCTAGGGAATCCTACGGTGTGACAGATATGGATGTAGCAGCAGCTTTGTCACCCTACACATGGACCCTCTGAAGACCATCAAAGATAAGGGGACTTCAGAAAGGAGGAAAGGAGCCTGGGAGGAATCAGAGCACATGAAGGATTAGGAGAAATTGTAGGAAGACCAGGAAAATTATAATCTCATTTGGTAGTGTAGGGGTGGGAGGTTGAAGAAGTTGAGACTGAGATTCCCTTTTGGCAAACTACGTACACCTGCTAGCGATCACTGTGTGGGAGAACAAAGTGAAGGCTGTGGGGAGAGTTGGCGGAACCAGCGAAACAATTACTAGAATATCTGTTAACCTTATAAGAGGTCTGAATTTCATTCCCTTAGAGGAGAGGGCCAAAGATGAAAATGATATTTTAATCAAATCCATTTGCACATCCTTGCTCTGCAATTGAGCAAACACATTAACAATTCTCTGTTGACTAGGGAGAAACAACAAAAAAAGAACAAACCATGTTAGAGTAAAGAAAAAGGCAAATGTACCAGAACAACTGGCCACAAAATCAACACAAAGTTGCCAAACTTATGGGAGAAAGTGAGTTTAGAGGGCAAGTGCCACGCACTCCTATCAAAGAGCCAAAAAGGCAAACTGGGTTGTATTTTCTCACTGCTGCGCAAAAGATAGTTATGCATATATTTGTTAATAGTTTAATACCTGCCCCCACAACGTGCACATCAATCATTCAAATACAATAAAAGCCCCAAATCTTTCCAAAATTTTCATATGTATCAAGTTTCCAGATGAAATTGAAACAAAAATATCCAAAATGGCATCCAAAAGATTAGTCTTGAGTTTTGCCCAGTTTGAGGTTTGCCCATGACCAATATAACTTCTAGTTATTGGTAATTCAGCCCTTCAAACCCAGCATAAAGAAGCAGCAGAAGATATTTTTGGAGCATACTTAGTCATGGGAGAAAACCCACATGAATAAAACAGAACATATCAAAGGACACCGAGATAAGATCTTTGGTAACAGACTTTTATCATTTTGCTGTACTGTCCAAATCACACAAATCCAGTAACAAAAAGGCAGGTAACTCTTTCTAAAATAAGAGGGAAACTTAACTCAGAAATACAGGACAGTCTAGTATCAGGGCCGGCTCTAGGATTTTTGCCGCTCAAGGCAAAAACAATTTTGCCCCCCCCTCCCTCCGGTTTTTTAATTACCCCACCCCCGGCCCCGCCTCAACTCCGCCCCTTCCCTGCCTCCTCCCCCCAGGCTCTCAAGCCTAGGAGGGAGGGGGAGAAGCGGTGCCCGCGCCGCGGCCACTCGGAGTCTCCCCCTCCCTCCCAGGTTTGAGAGCCTGGGAGGGAGGGGGAGACTCTGAGTGGCCACGGCGCGGGTGCCGCTTCTCCCCTTCCCTTCCAGGCTCTCAAGCCTGGGAGGGAGGGAGGGAGGGAAGGAGGGGGAGCAGCGGCGTGCGAAACGGCTGTTTTGCGCGCTGCGGCTGCTCGGGATCTCCCCCTCCCTCCCAGGTTTGAGAGCCTGGGAGGGAGGGAGGGGGCAGGGCTGGCTCTAAGCACCAGCAAAACAAGCTGGTGCTTGGGGCGGCACATTTTTAGGGGCGGCATGGCCGGTGCCAGAATGTCGCCCGTAAAAATGTGCCGCGGCCGCCCTAGCTCACCTTCGCTGCTGCTGCCTGGGAGGGAGGGGGAGATCCCGAGCGGCTGTTTCGCGCGCCGCTGCTCCCCCTCCCTCCCAGGCTTGAGAGCCTGGGAGGGAGGGCGAGTAGTGGCGCGCGAGCGGCAGCAGCAGCGGAGGTGAGCTAGGGCGGCCGGGGCACATTTTTAGGGGCGGCATTCTGGCGCCGGCCATGCCGCCCCTAAAAATGTGCCGCCCCAAGCACCAGCTTGTTTTGCTGGTGCCTAGAGCCGGCCCTGTCTAGTATAATGAAAGACCTGTGAGAGGTAGACAGGCTATACATGTGGAGTGAACTTAATTCAATCAAGCAACATGTATTTCATTAACAAAAAGAGGTAGCAGAATTAAAACCCTGCAATACAGGCATAATATGACCAGTCATCGGGGATGGCTAAAAAGCTGCCACCGTATGGCCCATACTGCAGAACAACAGACTGGTATAAGAGTAAATACATATGAAATGAATTTTTAAAAAGCTGACAAAATTGAATGCTAATTCATGACAATTTCTGAAAGAAACAGGACAACAGATTATCTGCATATAAGTGGACTTAAAATATCTCTCAATGCCAGCCTGTTACCCAGTTCAAAAGGAAACAAACCACATCTTTACAGATTGAGACTGTAAATGGTCAAGCCAGAGCTTCAATCAGTCTCATTAATTAAAGAGCACGAGTAATGCATTTACTCAGAAAATTCAGAATTATAAAATGACACTGTAGTTTTAAAAAAAAGAGCATGGAAGAAGAAAGGGAACAGAAGAAACACCAATAAAAGACACAATAAAAACTCTAAGGTTGAATGCACAAAGGCTACACATGCACACTGTATTATATAACTTTGGTAGCTAACCCACTTTACTTCCGA